GATGGTGATGGCTAGCACGAGGGGACATAGCTTTAAATTGAGGGGTAATAGATATAGGACAGATGTCAGAGGTAGGTTCTTTACTCAGAGAGTAGTAAGGGCGTGGAATGCCCTGCCTGCAAAAATAGTAGACTCGCCCACTTTAAGGGCATTTAAATGGTCATTGGATAAACATATGGATGATAATGGAATAGTTTAGGTTAGATGGGCTTCAGATTGGTTTCACAGGTCGGCGCAACATCGAGGGCCGAAGGGCCTGTACTGCGCTGTAATGTCCTATGTTCTATGTTCTAAGGAGACTGGGTGAGTTACTTTGGTGTATCTTGTGGATGGTACTCATCGCTGACACTGTGTCAATGTGAATGAAGTGAATGTTGAAGGTGTTGGATGTGGTGCCAAACTAGAGGGCTGTTTTTTCCTGGATTGTGTCAACCGTCTTGAGTATTCTGAGAGGTGATTCCATCCAGGCAAATGGTCACTATTCCATCACACCCTTGACTTATATTGCTGTAAATGATAGAAAGGCATTGGTAAGTTACTCACTGCAGAATTCATAGCCACAGTATTTATGGCTACTCCAGTTCAGTTTCTGGTCTATGATAGATCTCAGATGTTGACAGTTGGGGATTCAAAGATGTTAATGCCACTGAATGTCAAGGGGCAATGGTTAGATTCTGTCCTAATGGAGATGTTCATTGCCGGCCACATATTGACATGAATGTTATTTGCCACTTTTCAACCCAAGCTTTTGCCCTGTTTGCTTTTGAAATTGCTCAGATTGCTGGAAGCTAGTCAGAAAAAGAGTCATTTTCTTGCAACACAGGATCTTCAATAGTGACTCTCACAGCAGTCTGAAATCCAAACATAGGTTCCTCAGCTCACCAGCATAATTGAGCACGTCAGTCCACTAGCACACACAGGCCAGGGTTGAATCTTGTTTTTAATTCCTGTCTCTGTATACTCTTGAAAAGGGTAATTGCAATGATATCTCTTACCTAGACAGTTGTCTTTTATCCCATCATGCTCACAGTCTGAAATACTCACAGAGGATTACAGGTTGGAGCACATTTCCCATTTGAAGCTTCTTTGACACCTTTAGGTGTGGTGTTCCCAGAATTCATCTTCAGACTGCCACCGAATTTACATCCACAGTCATTGTCTTGGTGTATCTCCATTATTAAAAAGTAGGTTATAATTTCAGTCTATCCATAGGTGATCTAGGGTCATGAAAGCTAGTGTGACTCCAATAAGTGGGGAGTTTCCCCGCTGATTCCCATTGAATCCAGTTGTGTTAGGGCTCCTTGATGCCACACTCAGTTGAATGCTGCCTTGATGTTGGGGCAATCACCCTCACCTTACCTTTCTGAGCGAGATAGAGAAATCCCCCCTCCAGCCAATTAACCAACACTCAAGATAGACCGGGGTAGCAAGCAAATTCACCCAAAATTCCTGCAGGATCATTTGTGATGGAATGTTGTTTCCATAAGTCGAGCTGTTAGAATCTCTGAATAGCTGCTCCTCTGATTACAGACTGGTTTTCTCTCATGTTTGTTGCTGATAGGCACATGTCAGCAATAAACATGGGAAAGAAGCAGCCTATGACTGGTGCAACATTGAGAAGGTGAGTGCTATCAGCCAACTGAAGGTAGTGGAAGGCAGGGAACATGAATTGAAGCCGTGCTGGAGGATCAAAGCCAGTGGGCAAAATGAAGATAAAATTGTGGGGGAGAGAATCTGCAATTTGGGGTGCGCGTATGGAAGAGATTCTGAAAAGGCAGGGGAAGGAAGAGGGTCTGTAAAAGATAGAGTGGGTCTACAAAGGGGCAGGAGGAGTTTTAAACGTTTCAGCAAAGGAATACTCAATTAACTGTGTTACGGGGACAGGGGAATAGCCAAACTCCTCTGATAATTAAACTAAAACAGAAGCCCCTCTAATAATTATTCCCCGGAACACAGAGAGAAACTTGCCTTTCCCCTCGTAATCTGTTAAAAGTTGTTAAAAGAAAGACAATCCCTGATCTCCAGTTTATCAGAAACAAACAACAATTTAATTATTTAACGCTAACAATGAACAAATTAGAAGAAATACTAACAAACCAAATAATTTCCCCCTAAGTACTAACCATTTCCTAACAGAACTAAATTCTATTGGAATGCTATTCAAATAAACATAAGTCCCACTTATATAAACCCGATTAATAAATAAACAATAAACTAAAACTTAATCTCTCCAAACTCACACAGACTGTGTGTCTTCTGGAACTCTCTGCCACAAATGCCTTTCTTCTGCCAAGTCTGCTGTTAGAAGGGTTCCTCTGCAATTTCATAGGTGAGGTCTTTAATGTAAACTGCCGTGATACTTCTGATAGATCTTTTCGCAGAGCATATGGAGTTTGTGAGAGCCAGGCTTAAAATTCTTTTTGCTGCAAGTGAATGTTGGCTCACTCTTTTGGATGGCAATTGGCTATCCCCCGATTTTCAAAAATGCCCTCATCTTTATACCCATAATGACATTATAATATGTCTTACGTAGGATTGTTTCAATATTGTCAATACCATCAGGTTTAAATTCAATTGGCTTTCTGTATGTAGGTGCTTATTTTAAATTAATTGGCCAAATTCAAACTCGCCACAACATCAAAACAAGGCTACTGTTTTGCCTGCCACCTGTAAGGCTTTTTTGATACACTTGTTCCACTTTTTGAGGCTCTCTGTACTGCCAACCTCTAGATCCTGCTCACAGAGATACATCTTTTAAAAATCTATTAGCACAAAAAAAACTCTCCCCTTAAAGGTACTATGCACTCTTTTCCCCACTATCATTTTTACCAACAAATTCTAGCTTCCTGCCTTCCAATTCACAAATACTTTGCATCTTTGCAACAACTGGAATTGGTGGGTTGTCTCGCATGGGAATGTTACACGGGCTAGGCTTGTAACCATTGGAGTTCAGAAAAGTTAAGGGTGAATTAATTGAACATTAAGAACCTGAGATACCTTGACAGCGTAGATGTGGAGAGAATGTTTCCTCTTATAGGAGAATCAAGAATTAACGGTCACTGTTTAAAAGTAAAGTCACCTATTTAAAACAGATGAGGCAATTATTTTTCTCAAAGAGCAGAGCTTTTGAAACTGCCTTCCTGAAAAGGGTTGGAAACAGAGCTTTTGAATATTGTGAAGGTGGAGGTGGATAAATTGTTGGAAAATAAAGGTGTGATAAGCTATTAGGGTAGGTGGGAATGTGGATTTGAGGTTGCAATCAGATAAACTATGATCTTACCAAATGGTGGAGGAGGCTGAGGGGCAAGAATGCCCTTCTCCTGCCACTTGTTTGTATGCAACTGGGAATTTAAAAAATTGAAAATGAATGTGGAGTCTCTTGCGTAAGGCTACAGAGTTTTGGGAACAAATGTCGGAATAAAGTAGTGGCTATTATTACAATAATCACTCTATTCAATATGTTAATGCTGAAGAGTTTTACTTCATAGAAATTTATGTGTGATCACATCGTAAGTGTCTTGCATGCTAAGAATTAATTGGTGTGCAGTGACTATTTTGGAGACAAATATGCAATTTTCCAATAGACGTTTGATAAAGTACCAAACATAAAACTGGGATAAATGGGATATTTTTGCGATGAGAGGCTGTAACTAGTGGAGTACCATAGGGATCAGTGCTGCAATACATAGCAAACACTTGGCTGACAGAAGTGAATGTACTATCACCAAGTTTGCAGATGATACAAAAATAGGTTGGATGGCAAATAGCGAGGCTGACATAATCAATTTAGAAAGGGGTATGGACAGTTTAAGTGAGCGGGCAAAAACTTGATAGATGGGATATAATGTGGGAAAATCTGTGGCTTTGCACTTTAGCAGGAGGAATAGAGGAGCTGGCCATTATTTAAATCATATAAAACTGCAGGATGGAGCAGCATGATGATTTGGGCATCCTCATGCAGGAATCACAAGAAGTGAGCACCCAACTTCAATGCATAATAGAGAAGTCAAAGGTTTGGCCTTATGTCAAAGGGAATGGAGTACAAAACAGATAGATCTTACTAAAAGTGTACAAGGCATTAGCTGGAATACTGTGAACAGTTTTGTCCCCTTATCTAAGGACATATATGCTGCCATTAGCTTTTTGATCCTGGGTTTGGAGGGATTTGCTTATGATGAGAAGTTGAGTAGGTTGTACCTGTTGGAATTTAGAAGAATAAAAGGAGAACTTACTGAAGCATTTACATTGCTTGGGGGAGAGCTCGGCAGGGTAGATGTTATGAGGGAGTGTCTTGGACCAGAGGACATAATCTCAGAGTAGGGAGTCACCAATTTAAGACAGAGATGAGGAGGAATTTGCTCTTTCAGAGGATAGTGAATGTCTGGAATTCTTTTCCACAGAGGGCTTTTAACTATACTCAAGTCTAAGATAGGCAGATTTTTTAATCAGTGAAGTAATCAAAGGTTATGTTGAAAAGGCATCAAAGTGGAGTTGAGGATTATTAAATCTGTCATAATCACATTGAATGGCAGAGCAGACATGATGGACTGAATGGCCTACTTCTGCTCCAACATTGTATGGTGTTATAGACCTAGAGAAAATATCACGGCAGCCTCGGTGGGGGGAGGGGAGTTATTTTGAACCCTACAGATATGTCTCCCTGATGACGATGTGTTCAGCACTTCAGATAATGAAGGAGACAACCCTACAAAAACAATCCTGGCCAATGTTTACATAAGTTTTATTACAATAACTGCCAAGTTTTTATGGAAATAAAATGAAAATTCCTAAGCATAAGCTTCATGTTATGTTGACTTAAAAGTTGCAGACCTTTGCCTTAAAGGGAATTGTAAAACAGAAACATGACATGAATGTTGTTATATTAATACATTTGGAGCATTTTTTTTTGTATACTTTAATTTTCTCTGGTCATGTCCTTCAGCTTCAAATGTAGTTTGCCCTCTGGTAATGGTGGCAGATTTTCCTCAACTTCAATTCAGATATTGATCAGTGGAATAAGGTTATTGAGCAGTTGGGAACACCTTCCCCAGAGTTCATGAAGAAATTGCAGCCCACTGTTCGTAACTATGTGGAGAATAGGCCCAAGTATACGGGACACACTTTCCCCAAGCTCTTCCCAGACTGTCTCTTCCCAGCAGACTCGGAGCATAATAAACTAAAAGGTAAGGAACCAGACTGCATATCGGGCTTCGCTCATTTGTAAGAACAAATTTGTTTACAAACCATAGACATGCTTGAATGAAAGCTATCCATATCAGAATTAAAATTTGGAAAAATACACAAACCAGCATGTTTTAAAATTTGGTCTCATGATAGCCACTAGGGGAATCTCAATTCAGAGACATATTCCTGACGCCTCTTGTCAAATAAAAACCAAAAGAACTGCAGATGCTGTAAATCAGGAACAAAAACAGAAGTTGCTGGAAAAGCTCAGCAGGTCTGGCAGCATCTGTGGAGAAAAATCAGAATTAATGTTTCGGGGCCAGTTCCTCAGAACTGACAGTAACTAGGAAAATGTGAGTTTATATACAAATAGGGTGGTGAGGGGGGTTAAGGAGTAACGATAGGTGGGTATAGAACCCAAAGAGAGAGAAGAACAGTTGGACAGACAAAAGGGTCGGTAATGATCTGGCTGTGAGGGTGAATAGCTGTTAATGGAGACTGTTAGTGGCTAACAATAGGTAGTGTGTAATGGCAGGCTATGGGATAACAAGGCCTGGTGTGTGGGGTAGGGGGCTAGGATATGGGAGAGCTCAGGCCCACATGGGCCCCAGTTATGCCTGTCTCTTCGTGGGATGCATGGAACATTCCTTGTTCCAGTCCTATTCCAGCCCTCACCCACAGTTCTTTCTCCAATATATCGATGATATCATTGGTGCTGCTTCCCTCTCTCGTCCGAAATTGGAAAAGTTCATCGATCTTACTTCCAATTTCCACCCTGTCCTCACTTTCACCTGGTCTATCTCTGACTCCTCCCTTCCCTTCCTCAACATCTCTGTTTCCATTTCTGGGGATAGACTGGCCACGAATATCAACTAGAAACCCATCAACTCCCACAGCTACCTGGATTATATTTCCTCACACCCTGCTTCCTGTAAAGTCTCCATTCCGTTCTCTCAGTTCCTCCGTCTCCATTGCATACGTTCTGATGAGGCCAACTTCAACAAAGAAGCCTCCAAAATGTCCACCTTCTTCCTCAACTGAGGATTCCCCAGCACTGTTGTTGGCAGGGACCTCAATTGGGTCCGACCCATCTCCCGCACTTCTGCCCTCACCCTCTCTCTTCCCTCCTGCAACAGCCATAGGGTTCCCCTGTCTTTACATACCATCCTCCCAGTATCCACGTTCAGAAGATCATTAGCCAGAATTTCTGCCACCCCCAGTGAGATGCTACTACCAGACAAATGTTGCTGGAAAAGCTCAACAGGTCTGGCAGCATTTGTGAAGGAAAATACAGAGTTAACGTTTCGGGCCCGGTGACCCTTCCTCAGAATGGTTCTGAGGAAAGGTCACCGGGCCCAAAACGTTAACTCTTTTTTTCAGAGTGCAGTATGATTAGAAATTCAACGTAGTTTTGTGAAAGGGATGTCCTAATTTACATGGGGCTAAAGTTACAAACGTGTTGTAGGTCAGGCAGCACTGTGGCTTGGCCATTGGGCAATCAGACATGACCCAGATACCACATTTTTAGCCCAAACCATAAATTTCTGTTGCGATCTCATTGGTACGGATGCTCTGGTCACTCTAAAGATGGTCTCTGATGCTGGAGTAACCGTGAGTTAGACAGGGGAAAGGGAATTTTAACTCCATGATGGTGAATACAGGGGACACCGAGGCCTCTGTTTATAAGATTGCTACCAGTGGGAAAACCTAGCCAGAGTTCAGCCCTCTACAGATTGTTTGGTAAATTTGGAGCTCAGCTCTGAAGCCTGAGTCATGAGCCAGACTCTAGCCAAATGTCTGCCAACTTGAGCACCCCTGAAAAATGGGCCATGGGGGCAATGTTTAAAAACACTCATAGCCAAAGGCGCCAACTATAGAATTTCAAGCTGTTAGTACTTAATAGAATCCCTACAGTGTGGAAACAGGCCATTCAACCCAACAAGAGCATCCCACGCAGACCCATCCCTTTACCTTTTCCCTCTAACCCCACATTTCCCATGGCAAACACACCTAACCTACACATCCCTGGACACTATGGGCAATTTAGTATGGCCAACCCACATAAACTACACACCTTTGTGACTGTGGAAGAAGACCAGAACACCCAGCAGAAACCCACACAGACATGGGGAGAATGTGCAAACTTCACACAGACAGTCACCTGAGGGCAGAATTGAACCCAGGTCCCTGGTGGTGTGAAGCAGCAGTGCTAACCACTGAGCCAACGTGCCGCCCAATTTTGCTATATCTCCTCCCCGCCACACTTTCCCTTTCAGGTGCCCAAGATACACTCTAAAAGGAATGGAGTGGGGTTGGGTATCAACACTATTGTGATAGTTGGGTGATCTCTTTCTGAACTCAGCAGAGTCAGGGGCATAGCTGACTCTCCATTAGCCACTCCCTTGTACTTCATTGGGGTTGAGGATCTCCAACTATTAAATCTTCTGAAACTAACAGAAGTTTTGCTGAGTTGAGGTCATTGTGTAGAACACCACCAATACATAGAGCATAAAAGGAGTTTCAGTTTGCATTTGACTGGGTTTCACACTCAAGCTTATGTTACAAATCAAAGGAAGGCAAACAGCACTAGAATTAAATTGTATATAGCATGGCAATTAATTGAGATTTCGGAAAAAACATGAACATGTTTTGCAGCCAGCCAAGCCAGAGATCTTCTGTCCAAAATGTTGGTTATTGACCCAACCAAACGGATATCTGTGGATGAAGCCTTACAGCACCCATACATAAATGTCTGGTACGATCCAGCTGAAGTTGAGGCGGTAAGTCCTGATTGTTCTTCCTCCAATACTTGATATTTACATTCTCAGTAAAGTGACAGCTAAAATCATAATAAAATGTGACCAAGGAATTTAATCCATTGTATCCTGAACAGGCAAAGAGATAAACTCCAGTTGGCTCTTCACTAACACCGTAGGCTTGATTTTCCTCAGCTACACTGCACACAATGCAGGGATATTGTGGTAGAGGAGAGAAAATGGGTGGGAAAGCCTTTTAGCATATCTTTCCTACTCCTCTCCCCTCTCCCCCTAACTCAACCCTATCTTCAATGCTACTTTTCGAGCACCCAGCTGGGATCTCAGTCCTGCATGTGCCCGCTGAACCTTATAAATGGGACATTGAGGGGAAGGTGAGATGGAGAAAGCAACCTGCCTGGCATAGTACAGTCAACCTCAGGTAAGACCAGCAAAGGGATAGCAGCTTGGCGTTGGACAAGCATATCACTTTGCTCATCTGTCATACGTAGGTTAGGAGAATCTCAGAGCAATAGATTATCTCCTCCGTTGGGTTGGTGAATGGAGGGAGTGTGGGGGCATTCACAAGCAAATATTTTCATACAGCTGAACACGTGGACTGTTATCCTTTTCCAATCATTAGCTAGTCACTCAATGATTGCCATCCAGAAACTAGCAATGAAAGTCCCATCTTCACCAGGAAATGGTACCCATTTTGAGTAGGTTGTCAACATGACTTTTTAAGTCAAATGAGGCCAATTAAAAGAGGCTAAATGAGATTTCTTTTTCATTTGGCTCCCAGCAAGCACTGGCAAGGCCAGTTTTGCTGATTAGCATTGGCCTACAAGAGGCAGACCAGGCAACCACCATTCCAAATGGGCCGAACCTGTGGTGACAATGGGAAACTTAATAGTGGTAACACTTTGGCAGCATTAGAAAAACTCACCTTGCTAGCAAAACTGAATCATTTCAGGGAGAATACAATTAGAGCACAGAAATGTTGGGCATATTGTAAAAAATGGATGAGGATAAACCATTATAGAGCCATAATGAAATGACAGTCTAAGTGTATTTATATACTAGTTGTGTTTCACTCTTTGGGCTTTCTAACATCATCTTATTCTCTTACAGCAAACTTAAATCCAGCAATTTTCTCTGGAGGCCAATATTTGATTGCTTAATTTGTCTTTGAGAGCCTAGACATTGGTTGGAGAGGGCATATAATGTTCAAGGAACTGTCAGATGAATTAATCTTTCCATTCACTGTGTACCAGAATTTGTGAACTGTGAATTTCTTTTTTTTTATCATTACACAGCTTTCAGAGTAGTAGTACAGAGCTTTTAGAAAATGAGAGATATTTTGTTAAGTGGGGCTTTAAAGTAAAATCACTCATAGAATCATAGAGTTGTACAGCACAGAAACAGCCCCTTTGGTCCAACTCATCTGCTCCGACCAGATATCCTAAACTGACCTAGCCCCATATGCCAGTATTTGGCCCATATCCCTCTAAACCCTTCCTATTCATTTATCCATCCAGATGCCTTTTAAATGTTGTAATTGTACCAACTTCCACCATCTCCTCTGGCAGCTAATTACATACCCACACCACCCTCCCTGAAAAAGTTACACCTCAGGTCTCTTTTAAATCTTTCCCCTCTCACCTTAAACCTATGCACTCTAGTTTTGGATTCCCTTATCCTGGGAAAAAGACCTTGGCTATTTACCCTATCCATTCCCCTCATAATTTTATAAACTTCTATAAGGTCACCCCTCAGCCTGTCACACTCCAGGGAAAAAAGCCTCAGCCTATTCAGCCTCTCCCTATAGCTCAAACCCTCCAATCCAGGCAACATCCTTGTAAATCTTGTTTGAACCCCTTTAAGTTTAACAGCAACTTTCCTATAACAGAGAGACCAGAATTGAACACAGAAACCTAAAAGTGGCCTCACCAATGTCCTGTACAGCTGCAATATGACCTCCCAACTCCTATACTCAATACACTGACCAATGAAGGCACGCATACGAAACACCTTCTTTACCAACCTGTATACCTGCAACTCCACTTTCAAGGAACTATGAACCTACATTCTTAGATCTCTTTGTTTGGCAGCAATCCCCAGGGCCCTACCATTTACTGTGTAAGCCCTGCCCTGGTTTGCCTTTCCAAAATGCAGTCTTTCAAGTAATCCTTAAAAACCATGGCACAGAGTTCAATTTTATAAACCAAGCAGGTACCTTAGAGTCAAATGGAGCTGAGTCAATTTCGATTGAGTTAGCCAATCTTGGCTGCATTTGGGATACTGTCGTCTGGCCACAGAGTTCCTTGGATTCTCTACTGTTTGTGCTCAGTTGCTTCTCCAGTGATACCTGCTACACCATGCACCTATGTGAAAGTCAGTCATTGTAGCACTGAAGGATGTTCATCCGTATATATTAGCTCTCTCTAGTGCAATCCAGTCAGTCATATTTCAGCAAGTCAAGTGAGGATATGATTCAGCCTGGGATTGCTGCCTCATCCGGAGCACTGACACTTACATGTCCAAACTTTTGCAGGAAGATGGTCATTTGGACACAGTGTTGCTTAGAAGCTGTATCCCAGAAGAAGTCAATACCTTAACAAGAAGAGAATGAGCGTGAACTTGCTTCATAGAGTCATAGAGTTTTTACAGCAAAGAAAGAGGCCCTTTGGCCCATCATGTTGGCACCAGTCACCAAACATCCATTTATTTCAATTCCATTTTCCAGCTCTTGACCTGTAATCTTTTCCGTTATATCATTTCAAATGTTCATCTAAATTGCTCTTAAACGTCTCGAGGGAATATTTCGGAGTTTTCAAGATTCTCATGAAGGTTCAGTCCGCCCATTTAAAGTGTTAAAAGCTCCTTCGATAGGATACAAGGTCAAGTGGAATATTGCTGAAAAAACACACATTTTGCCCAAGCTTTTCATCTTGTACTCATCAGAACAGTTCGTAAATAATAGTGAAGTAAAAGGGAAAACAACATTAGTAGAGTGGGAGAAGAGTGTGCTGATTGGTTGGCAAATGGACTCTGATTGATAGAGGTGTTGCCATGAAGAACGCATCAATTATTTATGACTGTTATACATAGTGTAATGCTAATAACAGGCAAAGGCATCTTCTCTCTCACATATCATGCCTCTTAGATATTTATAATCAAGATGTTCAGATATATTATGGCATATGTCCCCAGCAGGTGGGACTTGAACCCAGAAGTAGGAACACTACCACTGTGCTACAACAGCCCAAGAGTAACCCTTCAATTAAGCCTCTGTATCCGTGCACAGTAGGTTGTAGATCACCTGCAGACCCAACCAATTGACCACCTTTTAATTTCTAAAATGAGTGACTGAAGCATTATTTACTTTCATCAATTGGCCATTTAACATGGCCAATCCACCTAACCTACACATTTTTCAATTATGGGAGGAAACCAGAGCACCTGGTGAGGACCCACACAGACACAGGGAGAATGTACAAACTCCACACCAGCAGTCACCCAAGGCTGGAACTGAAGCTAGGTCCCTGGTACTGTGAGGTAGCTGTGCTAACCCCTGAGCCACACTACTAGCCAGACTTGTGGAGGGAAATGGGTGCAGGTATCTAAAAATCTACATACTTTCCTGTGCACTTCAATCTCAACTCAAACAAACAGGAATACCAAGTGCGATTCATAAGTTAATCTGGAAACTGTTTTCCAGGAGTTTTTGGATCCTTCGTTAGTTTCAATAAAGATCACTGCCAGAGGAGGGCATGCAGAGTCCTACATCAGGAGATTTGGTTTTGTGATTTAGGACTAGATTAGGGCAGGATCCGCAGTCAGCACAGCCAGTGAAGAGCAGCCTGCCAAAGAGTAGTTCTGGGCCTCCAAAATGGGATCATGGTCTGGATACTCAGGTATGTGATCATTTCATAAAGCAGCTATATTTCTCTCCATATCTGAGCCAATAATGTGAGAAATTATGGAGTCATTAAAATTGACATTCATAAGAAAGCAGAGTCATATTTGAAAAACATGAATTCTGTAATCATTGACATGCAGAAAGACTTTAGTGTGCTCTTACAAGGAATTAATTTATCAGGAAGGTACAACAAGCAAATGTGAAGCCAAGTGGCATGTTGCACTTCCCAGCAAGTGCATGGGAGCAGAAGGAATTCTTGCTACAATTGGCTTTGGTGAGACCATAGGTGGAATACAGTGCATAGTTTGTCTAAATAGAAACCTTACAGTGCAGAAAAGAGGCCTTTTGGCCCATCAAGTCTGCACCAGCCCTCTAAAGAGCATCTGACTCTACCCCTGTAACCCCACATTTCCCATGGCTAATCCACCTAGCCTATATACCATGGGTCAATTCACCTAACCTACATAACTTTAGACTGTGGGAGGAGACCAGAGGAAACCCATGCAGGCACAGGGTGAACGTGCAAACTCCACACAGATAGTCACCCAAGGCTGGAATTGAACCCAGGTCCCTAGCACTGCAAGGCAGCAGTGCTAACCACTGTGCTACAGTGCTGCCCTTGCTGTACCACCATGTCACCCTTTTAAGGAAGGATAGATGTGTATTGGAGATAGTACATTTGAAGGTTCACTAGATTGGTTCCTCTGATGGAAGGATTGTCTTACAAAGAGAGGGAAGTGTAAAATGAGTCTATCTTCTCTGGAGTTTTGAAGAATTAGAGATAATCTGATTGAAACAAGCAAGATTCTGAAGGAGCTTGACAAGTTGGCACTGAGAGGTGCTTTCCCATGAATGGATGATCTAGACATGGGCATAGCTTCCATTTACAAAGTTGATCATTTTGTATTGAGTTGAGAACTTTCTTCACCAATGAGTTCTAAATCTTTGAAATTCTCATCACCTGGAGTTTGTGGATTCTCCATCATTCAGTATATTTATGGTTGGATTAGGTCTCAGGTATTGAGGGATATGAAAAGTAGATGACAAAGTGGAGTTGAGGCAGAAGATCAGACATGGTCCTGTAGAATGGCAGAGCAGGTTCATGGGATGCTTATGGTGTACTCCTGCTCCTATTTGTTATGTTCTTACAGGGTTTGATGATCAGAATGCAAAGCCTTAACAAGGTGACGAAAACTTAACCATTTTACCACTCAATGTATCAAGGAGGAATGATGCATTGGCTATGAATTTCACTTCCTTTCCAAAAAATATCACAGCTTTACTATTTCATAGCACTTTTGAAGTTGTGCAAGAAAGACAACCCACTCACTGTTTTCTTGCAATTTACCATTGAACATGTTTGCTGTTTCCGATAACACTGATTTCAAATGTAAGTACTGATCTCAAATGTCTTGACGTAGCCTTTATTTATCTTAGTATCACCAGAAATGAAACAAATGAAAAGGAAGAAGATGCTTACGCTTCAATTGGCAACTTGTTCGTGGGATTAATAGATAACTTGTAATTTAACAGATAACTTGTAACTGATTGATAATGTGTGTAAGACAGCTGTGATTGATGTGGAGCCTGACAGGCTGAATACTGATAAAGCTTCCCTACAAAACTCCAGACTCACTGAGAGCTGATCGCGGCACAAGTAGAAGAAAAAAAGTGAACAATTTCCATCTTCAATGTCTCAGACACATTGTTGGCATGTCTTGGCAGAACAAGGTCACTGTCTCTGACGCATGCAAATTCCATTGGGATGCATTCATTGCTAGACTAACAATGCCTCTGCTGACTCGGACACATTCATCAGAATGAAAACGTCCATATTCCCAATGGTTTTCAGTATGATAAACCAGGCACTGGGCCTCAACCTCCTGGCAGTCCATACCTCAGCGACAGGTACACCTGCAGGTAACGTATCAAGATGCTTCACATTAACAAGAACAACTGGAAGACAGCCCCTGATGACTGTGACATTGGAGGCTGACCGTTTGGAAAGAAATTGAAAGGTGACCTGAAATTAAAAGTTCAGCTGTCAAAGAAGGCAGCTCAGACAAAACAAAGGCCAGTGATAGTAGAAACTGCAGATGCTGGAGAATCTGAGATAACAAGGTGTAGAGCTGGAT